GGTTGTTTCCAACTCCTTGCTATTGTGAACAAAGCCATGATAAACATGGGTGTGCATATATCTGCTTGGATGTCAGTTATGGTCTCTTTGGGGTAAATTCCCAGTAGTGGAATTGCTGGGTCAAATGATCTATTTGCAACTTTTTGAGAAAACGCCATACCGCCTTCCACAGTGGTAGCACCATTGTACATTCCCACCAACAGTAAATAAGGGTTCCAGTTTCTCCACAACCTTTCCAGCATTCGTTGCTTGCTGTTCTGTTAAATTTTGCTATTCTGACTGGGGTGGGATAATATCTCATAGTTGTTTTAATTTGCATCTCCCTTAGAGCTAGGGATTTTGAACATTTCTTCATGTTCTTGTTAGCAATCTGAATGTCTTCTTCGGTGAAGTTCATATTCTGTGCTCATTTTTCTATTGGATTATTTACCTTTATCTTGTGTTGTTAAAAATATTTAATCGCACATTAGGTAAAAATTTTAAAAGCCTATCAGTTTCTTATTTAATAATTTATACACAAATTGTTCTGAGACACTGACTCCAATCTCCACAGGGTGACCACAAGCTTAGTGCTTATATGTATTAATGATGAATTTGGTTATAATAGGGGTCTGTGATGTGGTTTTTCAACTATGTTTTGTTTATTTTGGAGCTTTGCCTAAAAGTTGGGAAAAAATAGTACATGTGACACTTTTATTTAGAATGTACATGTTACAGTTAAATGCTATGCTCAATTCAAATCAACTTCTATTAATGCACAGATTTTATTATATATGGAAATTTAAGGATATTTAAATGAGGAAATTAAGGATAATTTTCAGAGAGTAATTTAAATATTAGTAGTTTCTGACTCAGTATCTACTAAAATAAATAGGTGCAGACAAGAGTGCTCCTTGGAGGTAATGATGGTGAAGCTTCATTTTGTATACTTTGAGCACATTGCTAGGAAAGGCTTCTCCTTGGAAAAGAACATCATGCTTGAAAAGGTAAGGAAGAGCAAAGGAGATGAAGACCTTTAACCAGGCAGATTCACATAGTGACTGTAGCTATGGGCTTGAGTGTGTCAGAGATTTTGAGATTGGCACTTGAAAGGACAACATTCAGATCTGTTCGTGGTACTCAACTTGACAGCACCTAACAAGAAAAGCATGCTTAGTAATGAGTTGCAATGCTAACCCAACTAAGCAGCAATTTCCTCCTATACAATTCACAGCTCAGGAATATCACAGAGGGTCATTTAAGAGTGATTTGTCACTCAGATAGCAATGAGGACATACATCATTCATAATGAGAAGAAAGGGCTAAACAGAAGCACAACACAGATCTTCTTTGATTCGACGAAAAATGAAAAGACCACGTATGTCAAATAATCAACTGCAAAGAACTAGGTGCACCTTTGCCTCTAGAGCATCACTGCTCTTCAGCACTTTGGAGAGGTCCATGACAACAGATTTTCCCAATGCAAATTCATCTTTTGATTTCCTGGCTGCTGGTGTTAAAAGTGTTGATTGTGGATCCAAGCAAGGTTTAATAGGCAACAACCTCAATCTCTTCTCCATCTATCATAGCCCTGTGGTAAGAATCTTTTGTTTCTTGATGTTGTTTTCTTGATGTTTACTAAAGACCAAAGACCTTCATCTTTTGCAGCAAGTGCTTCAGGTCTTCTTCAGTTTCAGCAAGCAAGGTTGTGTCATCTGCGTATCGTAGGTTACTGATGAGTCTTCCTCCAATCTTGATGCCACACTTCTACTCATAAAGCCCTGCTTCCTGAATGATCTGTTCTACATATAGACTGAAAGCCAATGGGATGACAGAAGAAGAACAGATGCCTTATTGTTCACTAATTTCCACATACTGTTGGGTCACCATTTTTTTTTTGTGAGATTAAATCCAATCAGTTGCCAGGTGCTTGTCCTCAAGTTTTCTTGGTACAACATGTTAAGTGTGTCCAGGGCAGTATTTCTTTGTTGCAATATCTCAACTGGTATGCCATCAATTCCTGGGGCCTTGTTTTTAGCAATATGTTTCAGAGAAGCTTGAACTTCCTCCTTCATTACCATAGGCTCTTGATCACATGTTGTTTTTTCAAATTCTTTTGTGTCAGGTAATTCCTTTTTTTTTTTTTTTTACTTTTACAAACAAGTTTGTATTTCATAAACAAACAGTCTCATCTTATACATAAACATTTTGTTAAACAGAATTTTTAAATCAGGAAATAGTTAAGATTTAATTTTCCAAATATTCACATAAGAACCAGTACAAATGGAAGAATCTTTATAATCTCCATATCAAAAAGTATTCTCATATACACTCCCCTCAACAATCTGAATATGAGTGGCAGAAGCAATGCACTTAAAGGCTTCATGAATCTTTTCTCAAAAAAAGTATCCTTTCAGTAAAACATTTTACCATTTCAATGGATTATTTGTCAGCAAGCTTTTTTTTTCTTCTTGAAGAGGGGAATTTAAACTAATACTGTTTTCTTCAATGTAAAAATAAACATCTTGAGATATTTAACTTCCTGAGTGACTTCATACATCAAGCATGATTGAATAAGAAAATTCTGATATTTTAGAGTTAAACAGTGATAATATAAATTTAAACTTGCATTTTCAATTAGGGTAAAACTCAAAAGAATGCCATTTAACCTTTACACTTAAATTATCCAAGAGGCCAAACAATAAGATTCCCAAACTTAATCACAAACTTTCTCAAATAAGCGCTAGTAAAATGATCACTTAAGTTGCATCTTCTCTAATTTACTAACAAAATATTGGTAGCCATTTCAGACCTACATATTTCCTATTTTACCACCAAAATCTGACTCACTAACAAGAAAATTCTTGTAACACCAAAAATTACAAATAATTGAAATATTTGCTTTATATTACAATCAAACTATACAATTCACCCTTTCCAAAATAATCAGGAACTGAGGCACTTCATTCTAAATAAAACCCTTTCCTCTTATAACCCTGAGGTGAAAGGTTATTAATTTAATAAAACTGGAACCACAAATCTTCTCATTTCTGTACTAAAAATTTTTGTCAAGTGACAGGGTAACTTGTAAAGCTGTAAAGTTTCTCAACAAAACTTATCTGGACCAATTTTGCCAAAGGGTCTAAAATGACCCTATAAAAAAAACACAATAATGTCCTTTTAATAAACGCTAGTGCCGAGATGAGCGCCATTTTCCATCTCTACTACTGTCTCTTCTGTTATCATACTCATGGCTCCAGCCATTGTGGTTCCCATCTTCGTAAAAGTATTCTTCTGTTTCTCCTCGGTAATCATGGTCAGAACGATGATCAGTATAACACTGTTCACGGCTATAATTTCTATCTGCTACATAAGGATGAGAATTCTGTCTGACTTTACGCTGTGATGATGGTGTATCTTGATGCCACTGGGAGCTCGAAGACTGGTTAAAAGAGTTGATTATGTGACTGAACTGATGGCAAAATCCGGTCTGATCCAGCTGTGGAGAAGGTATCTCCCACCATACTGCTTATGTCTCCTAACATTGTTCATCATTGCTTGTCTCTGAAAATTTTCTGGAGTAGAGAAAGATCTCTGAACTGTCTGTGTTGATGGAGACACATTATCCGTAGCTCTTTCATACGAACTGCTAGGAGATGCTGGAGTAAGAGTAGGGCTTGAATTTCCAGGGTGGTGCTGTGGATATGAAATTTCCTGCGAGGCATGGCTACTTCCTGGTGGAAAAGCTCGAAGAGAAGCTCCTCTGTCACTTTAGTCTCAAGGTTTCCCACAAAGAGTGTGCAATCCGCTTCGGCCGCCGCAGCCCCCATATTAGCAACGCCCCCTTCCTACTAAGGCCTTAAGTCTTAACTGAGGAACCTACTGCGCATTCTCTTGTGTCAGGTAATTCTTTTTGGTAAAGTGACTCTGTGTTCTCCTTCTATCTTCTTTTGATGCTTCCTGTGTCGTTCAGCATTCTGCCACAGCACCCTTATTAACATCTTTTTAAAAAATGTATTAAAGGAACACATGGTCTAATTGATTCATTATTAACCTGTATTAAATCAATTCAACAGATTCTTAGTTTCCCTTTAGTAACAGTTATTGTGTTTCCTCTTTCCTGAGTCTCAGAATATCCTGTTCTTTGGTAAGATGTACTTGGGCTTGCTACTCATACCAAAAAGTCTCTCTTATCTAAGAAATCACGAAGCAAAATCTGTAAGCATTAAGTTTTTGGCACGTCGATGTAAATGGAACTTTAACATTGTAATGTATATAAATCTTTCTGGATGAAAAAGCCAGGATTCTAGACTAGGTGCTTATCTGTTTTTTCTTATCCAACAAAATGAAATAAATTACTGTCTTCACTTTTAGTAACTCTAGTAGTTAAGGGTTTTTTTTTCTCCCTACAACAAGGTACAGTGAATGAATAAATACAGTAAGCAATTAACACCACAATACTTCTGTAAAATAAGAAATCAGTAATAGAAATTATTAAAAACTACAATCTACAAAAATCACATCACAGAAGGCTATTTATTACTATGGCTCGACAGCACTTAACAAAAACAACACAACAATGTTAGATGGGTCTTGGCTGAAGCAAGTAGGGAGTACCAGAGGAATGTGTATCTTTGTTTCAGGCAACTCAATGGCATATGACGACAACAACAACAACAGTGTTCCCTTAATCCATACACACAATAGCCTCTTAGTCTAGGTATATGTTTCACATGAGCACAATTAAGTGTTCTGGGATTTTCATTCTTAATGTTAGTTATAATGCACAGTAAAATGTTTTTGTATAGTCAATAAAAACAACAAATTCTTCTCATATTTGTTGCTTTCAGTCAAAATCCATCTGAATCTGACATCAGCAATGACATATCTGGTGCATCTAAATCTACCTTTAACTTTTAGCAGTTCTCTTTCTATGTACTGTTGCAGCATTTTTTTGAATTATCTTCAACAGTATGTTGCTTATATGTGATATTAATGATGCTGTTTGATAATTTCCACATTCCACTGGAGCACCTTTCTTGAGAACAGGAATAAATATGGATCCTGTCCAGTCTGTAACCTAGGAATCTGTCCTGTAAATTTCCAGGCACGGTCTGGCAAGCACACCCAAGGCCACATTTATTAGCTGATACATATCAGCTGGTATCCCACTAATTTCTGAGGCCTTAGTTTTTTGTTAGTACTTTCGGTGCAGGTTGAACATCCTCCTTCATGAACACTGGATCTTGATTATATGGAAATATTTCTGAAATATTTCCGTGTTAGCCAATTCTTTTTGGTAATGTGATTTTGCGTATTACTTCCATTTCTTTTGATGCGTCCTGGATCATTCAAGATTTTGCCCACACTGCAACTTGTGGCTTGAATTTGTTTTTTCAGTTCTTTCAGCTTGAGAAAAGCCAAGAGAGTTGTTCTCATTTTAACCTCCAATACCAGCTATCTGCACATTCTTTTATAATACTTTGATCTTCTCAAGTTGCCCTTTGAAATCTTCCATTCAGCTCTTTTACTTCCCTTTGTTTTGGCTTCTCAATACTCCAGTGCAATTTTCAGAGTCTCTTCTTCTGCTCTGTCATTGTAATGACCTTTTGCTCTCTTCATGGAGGATATCTTTAATGTCACTGACAAGACTATGAATAAGAGTACATAGGTGAAACTAAACTGCTCCTTTGAGGTGAGGATTTTGAGGCTCCATCTAACATAACTTGGGCATGATGCAAGGAGGGACCAATCCCTGGAAAAGGGCATCATGCTTGGTAGTGTGGAAGGATAGTGAAAGATTAGAAGACCCTGGATGAGATGCACTGACACAGTAACTGAGATAAAGGGGCTAGGTGTATCAGAGACAGTGAGACTGGCTCAGGATAGGGCAGGGTTCACAGCTATTGTGCTTAGGTTCCCAGTGAGTTGCAAGCGACTCAATGGCACACAACAGTAATAAAATATGAAATAGAAAATTACAATACAACATACATCATTTCTATAGGAAAATATATTAATGAACAGGAAAATTTTTAAAACTATATATAATAAGAATTTAATATTGCTATATTTCATCAATTTGGAAATGTCTAACAGCTTATAATCCAGCAGGTTTTCAGAAGCTATAAATTGCATGAGAGGAGACCTGCCCTTCTTTGTCCTTTCGACCTGCTGGAGGATCTGTCTTTGGGTGGCAGTTCAACACTTTACACAGTAGGCTACCTTGCTCACTATGATCTTAATAGTGACATTCTGATTTTTCCATTTGAAAATGAAATTACAATTTACTAAACATTTCAGTAGTCATGAAAGTACTTTCATTATGAGTGATAAACCAAAAACCTAACTACTGTCATACCAATTCAAAATCATGGCAATCAATCTTTTATCGGGTTTCTGAAGGTTCTCTCTACTTTCTCCATGTTTCTGTCACAACAGAATTGTTTATCTTTTGGTTATCTACTCTCCACTATCAGAGCCTCGGGTGCAGGCCTGGGGTTTTTTGAAACTCATGTGACTTTGGAGGGGTGAGTCCTTGTCTGTGTTGGATGGGAGCAGTCTCTGGATTGGTTGGCCAGAAGCCTCTTGCTGGAGCCAATGAGATCCTGGGGTGCATGCCTGGGGTCTTTAAAAACTCATTTGGCTTAATTATCTCATTTCAATTATCTTTGAAATGAACATTCTCCTAAGTGGTACAGCACTGTTCTGTCATTTCTCTGTACTGAGTTAATTCTGGATTGCTGTGATACTGAATGGTGTGCCACTGGTCTGTCAAATGCCATAACAGTTAAACATGGTTGATAGTTTTTGGTAGAGATCACTGATTAAGACAGGTCTGGAAGCAGGAGTGGCATCCGTTTCCTAAACTTGTCTGTGGAAATTCTATGAACTTGGAGAAAGGACAACATTTATAAAACAAGGTTAAGGTCTTTTGTTTATAAATGCTACATGGCACTAAACAACAACAACAACAACATAAAAAACCTTATCTCCATTTTGGAGTTGAATAAAGAAGCTGGACTCTGTAAGATGGTGCTCTTGTTTGGTTGAGGATCAGTGTGGACGGTTTGGTTGTTGGGGTTTTTATTTTTTAGTTAAGCCTCTTGATAAGAATCAGTAAGACCTCCTGGAAAGCTCTTATATTTAAAAGTTGGGCCCAAGGGATTTTATTTTAATCCTTTGTTACTATATTTTGGAGGACATTCTTCTAAGTCATAGAGAACTCTGGTCAATTTGCTGTGCTGAGATAATCTGGGTTTGCTGTGACACTGAACCTTGTGCCACTGGGGTCTCAAATGCCATAATGGAACAACTGTGCCATAATGGTTATCCATTGTGGGTAGTGTTTGGTGGAGCTTGAAGATTGATTCAGGTTTGGAAGCAAGAGTGGCATATGCTTCCTAAACCATATGCCTCTGGAAACTCTATGAACTTGGAGTAATGACAATAGTTATAGAAAGCCTTCAGGCCTTTTGTTCATAGGGTCACTATGAGTTGTGCTCAACTCGACCTCAATCAATAACAATAACAACCCTTCACTATACCACTAGGGCTCATACAGCATTAGCATTAGTCTCACAAAATGTTTAATTGCAAAAGGTCAGCATTCCACAATGTCAGTATTAGTAAAAATTCTTACGTCCCACTGCTGCTTTTATCATCTTCTTCTTCCTCATTGTCTGAAGCCAAGAAAGGAACTGCAGCCAAATCTTCTTCCTCTGCACGAATCTGTCCCAGTATGATAAGCCCATGGATTTTACAATCTATTCCTGAGCTCCTGCACTGCTTTATAGCAATTTCAATATATCTGTGATACTAGACACAAAACAATGAGTCATAGACTAAGAAAGAACACATTAAATATTTTAACTGGAGAGCAGCATACTTCAAACACATTCCATACAATGTAGGGAAAGTGAAAGTAACTTTATTTGAATGCTAGATTTATCAAGTGACTCAGGCAAAGTTACTTCAGTCATGTTCAAATGTTGTATTGTTGTTACATGCCATCAAGTCGCCTGAGACTCACAGCCACCCAATGTACAATGGTTCGAAACCCTACACTATTTTGTGCCAATTTTATTGTCTCTGACACACCTACCCCATAGCCCCAGTCACTGAATCAATCCATCTCATCACATGTTTCAATAAGGTTTGCTTCAAATAAATCATTATTTGACTGACTTTGTCTTAATTGTGCCATGGGACTCTCATTTCTTACCAAAATTAGATAGTATGAAAGCTAACTGATTTAAAAGATAATTCTAAGGAATATTGGCACCAGGTATTTTGTTATTTTATTTTGTTTTCAGAGAGAATAAACACAAACCATCTACAAACAGACATTTGTGAGATACCTGGGGGAAACCTGAACACTTACTGGATACCATAAGGTTCTGAAGATTAACTGTTAAGTAAATGGTAATGTAAGGAGGTCTGGTTCATAGTGCTATGAAAGCATGCCTCCAACACAAAGGTACAGAGTTCCAATCGACCAGCTGCTCCATTAAGAGAAAAATGGGCAATTAACTTCATTGCAATTTACTGGTCCTGAAATCTTCTGCAGGGTAAGCTATGGATTGGTTCTGACGTAAAGATCTAAGAGCAAAAAAATGGTAATGCATGCAGCAATTAATGAAAGAGGTAAGAGTTCAAGTTTAATCAAAGGCAACTTAGAAGGATCTATTTTTTACTTTTTCAGATGTAATTCTGAAAAATCAGCCATTGAAGCCCTATAAATCAACAGTTTGTTACTGTGAAGCACATGGGTTCACCATGAACAGAATCAACTCCATAGTAAATGGTTTTGTTCTCTTGGACAAGTGTAATACTCTCACTTTAAGATTGTATTTTAAGTTTTTATCTATTAAAAAGAAATAGCTAAATATTTACTATTAAGCCAAAATTGCATCCAGGACCCTCTTTTAAATATTCCAAGAAGAGAAAAACAGAGTGCAGCCAGAAATGGAAACAAAAATACAAAAAAATTTTAGGTGACAAATTCATAGGAATTTCAGAATAATCTATTTTTTGTTATGCTGGAAAATTCACATAAATAATCATTATTCAAGAAAGGTTACACTAAAGAGTAGAGTAGTTTTTCTTGAAAGATCAGATTCTAACTCTGTTGCTTTGGGAGCCAGAGCAAAGGATAGGAAGGCTAGTTTGAAGTTTACTAAAAAGGCTTAACACTTTTTGTTAGGGTTAGAGATGGCAAAGGGAATATGGAGATGAGGGTCCAAGGAAGATGCAGAAAACCAGAACTAGCATCAGTGCATCTTTGGACATACTCCCCTACCAACTTTACGATGCTGAGCACCAGACACACTGCAACCTTAGGGAAGCGCATTATCATAACTGTAGGACCCAAAGAAAATGGCTATCATTCACCATAAAAGGAGGTGTCCCTCCTATCAATCAGGATGAGCCATTATATGGAAAATTAAACAAGTCAAGATAAAAACCACATAAATACCAGAACCAGTTCTAGATCCTTAGACCCTCACTGTTTCTCACTCAGGACAGGCAATCTGCTGTCATATAGTGTAGTGGGCTTACTACCTGTTTTTATTTCTTTCTTTCACTACAGACACGTTACTGATCACCTCTGTGAAGTTGCTCTGTTGATGGCCAGAAGCTAACGAAAGTAACTGTCTTTACCTAGCAATATTAGCAACATTCATTAAAATTGAACACTACCCTTTTCTCAGAAACATTTACTTGTTTTTCCAATTCACTTATTAACAAACTTGTTATTACTTAATAAATTAGCATGACACAATCACAAGTGGCATTTCACTATAAATAATGAACTGCATTTAATTCATCGACAGCCTATATTATGTGGATGACACAGCCTTGCTCAACAAAAGTGAGGATTTGAAAGGCCTGATGTAGAAGATCAAGGACTACAGCCTTTAGTGTTGACTGCAGCTCAACATTAAGAAGGAAAAAAAAAATCCTCACCACCAGGCCAATACGCAGCATTATGACAGATAAAGAAAAGAGTAAAACTATCAACAATTTCATCTTACTTATATGCACAACCAACACCCTTGGCACCAGCAGTAAGGAAGTGAAAAGATTTGTTGCATTTGGAAAATTTGCTGTAAAGTACTACTCCAACAGTGCTACAGGTGCAACAAAATTAGTCTACACACTAAGACAGACCTGATCCAAATCCCACTTTTTCAACTGCATCTAGAAGGTGGACGATGATTAAGAAGGGCAAAAGAAAAACAGCTGCCTTTGAGTTGTGGTGCTGGAGAAGAGTACTGAATATTCCATGGATGCCAAGACAACAAACAAGTCTGTCCTAGACAAAGTAGAACTAAGGTGCTTCTTGAAGGCAAGGATGGTAAAACTCTGTCTCAAATACTCCAAGCACACAAATCAGAAGGAGCCAGTTCTGGGTGAAAATCATCCTTGGAAAGATGCGGAGGTTCAGTGGAAGAGAGAAGGCGATATATTGACATTAGACTGTAGGAATAAAGAGAGTCAAGTGTATCAGACATGGTGAAGATGGCTCAGGATAGGGGAAGATTCACAGAGCTTCTGAGTCAGAGGTGACTCAATGACACGTAACAATTAAATTCACCATAGCAAGCCGTAAGTACGTTGTGGGTGTTATGTGCTGTTGTGTCTACTACGACTCATAGTGACCCTATGCACAATAGCTATGAATCCTGCTCTATTCTGAGCCAATCTCATTTTCTCTGACATACCTACCCTCATTACTCCACTCCTTACTCATTACTGTGTGAATCCATCTCTGTGTCTAGGGTCTTCTCCTGTGCTGTCCCTCCACCTTCTCCAAAGACTTGTCTGTCCTGGTAACATGCCCAAAGTGTATCAGACAAAGCCTCAAAATCCTTGCCTCCAAGCAGCAGCTTGGCTTCATCCTCTCCAAGACATACTTAGTTCTCTTAGCAGTGCTCTTCTTCAGAACCACAATTCAAAGGCATCAATTCTGCTTGTCACCTTTGGTCAGTGTACAGCTCTCTGATGCACAGCAAGTAATTGTGAAGATCATGAACTGATCAGGTACATCTTAGTCTCTAGACTGACAATACTGCTCTTCAACACTCTGGAGAGGTCCCTGACAGCAAATTTTCATAATCCAATTCACCTTTCATTTCTTGACTCCTGGTGCCAAGAGTGGTGACTATGGAACCTAGAAAGCTAAAATTCTTAGCATCTCAATCTCTTCTTCACATAACATGGCATTACCAATCAGCCCAATGGTGACAATCTTTGTTTTCTTGATGCTGAGCTTCAATCCCACATTGCAGACCACCATCTTTGACCTTCTGCAGCAAATGCTTCAGGCTTTCCTCAGTTTTGGCAAGCAAGGATGTATCATCTGCATAACGCAGGTTGTTGATGAGTCTTCTTCCAATCCTGATGCCACATTCCTCCTCATGAATGAAGTCCAGCCTCTTTTATGATCTGCTCCGCATAGGGATTGAAAATGTATGAAGCCAGGACACATCCTTTCCTAATTTTGAACCATGCAGTGTTTCTTTGCTCTGTTCTGACGACTGACTCATAGAGTTCTGAGATACCCGTTCATCTCAAGGTTAGCACAATTTTTTAAGATTCACACAGTCAAATGCCTCTGCATAGTCAATGAAGCCTTGACATTCCTCTGGTACTCTGCTTTCAGCCAAGGTCTAGCTAAAATTGGTGATGATGTCCCTAGTGCTACAGCCTCTTTCAAACCCAGCTTGTATTACCACTAGTTCTCTGTCAATGTACTGTTCCAGTCGTTTTTGGATTATTTTCAGCAGGATTTTGCCTGCAAATTATTCTAGTGATATCAGTAATTTCTGCACTTTGTCAAGTCACCTTTTTTGTTAATGGGAATAAATATGGAGCTCTTCTAGTCAGTTGGCCAGGTAGTTGACCTCTTGACTTCTTGGTACAACCTGGTGAGCATGTTCAGGGCAGGATCTGTTTGTTGAAATATCTCAATTGCTATTCCATTAATTTGTGTAAATTTAACTTTCTCCTTCATCACCATTGCCTCTTGAATATAGGTTGTTTTGTGAAATTCTTATGTGTAAGCTAATTCTTTTTTGTACAGTGAATCTATATACTCCTGTCATCTTTTGATGCTTCCTGGATCATTCCATATTCTGCACATAGCATCCTTAAGTATTGTCATGTGAAGTTTCAATTTCCTCTTCAGTTTTTTCAGATGAAGAAATACCAAGAGAGTTTGGTCCTTTTGATATTCTGACTGCAGCTTTTTGTCATTATAATACTTTGCTTTGTCCTCCCAAGATGCCCTTTGAAGTTTTCTGTTCAATTCCTTAACTTACTGATTTCCTCCCCTTTTCTTTGGCTCCTGAGCACTCTCATGCGATGTTCAGAATCTCTTCCTACATTTGCCTTAGTCATTCTTCCACTATCCTTGTAACAGTTTTCATGGATGATATTCTTGATATCCTCACACACTGTGCTCATTAGTATTCAAGACCTCAAACCAGTTCCTGAGATGGCTTTTTAATTCAGGGGGGATAGATTCAAGGTCAAATTTGGTTGCTGTGGATTTACTATTCTTTAGCTTCAGTTTGAACTTGCATTTGAGTAGGTGATAGTCTGTTCCACAATCATCACCTGACCTAGTTTTCACAACTGATATTGAGCTTCTCCAATGATGCCATAGATGTAGTTATTCTGATTCCTCTGGTGACCAACAGGTGAGGTTTATGCGTATAGCTGCCATTTACATTTCTTATAAAAGGTATCTGCAATGAGTAAGTCACTAACTGTATAATATTCTATCTTTCTATCTCTAGTCTCGTTTCTGTGACCAAGCCCATGTTTTCCAACTACTAAGCCTTCTTTTCTGTTCCCAACTTTTGCATTCCAGTTTCCCTTTTTATTAGGGCATCATGGTTGCATGTTCCATCAATTTCTGACTGCAAATGTTGGTAGAAATCATCTGTTTCTTCCCTTTTGGCTCTGGTTGTTGGTGCATTTATCTGAATGATTGTGGTGGTATTCCTTGTATGTGTATGGGTATTATGTTCTCATTCACAACATTGTATTTCAGGATGGATCTGGAAATGGTTAATTTATACTGTTTTAAGCAGGTCTGGGAGAAAAGGGAAAAGACATAAAGATTAGGTGGGTAAGATGAAGGAAAAGGGAGAATGCAATCAGCTTCAACAAGATATTGCTGTTAAAGACTAGACTCCCTGGTCTTTCTCACTCTAATAGAAGAGGGCTGGGACCTAGGTCTCTCAGGAGAAATTGAAAAGAAATATGTAAGCTTGCACCAAGGTGCTAGTACTGCCAGGAGAAGCCAAAAGAGGTCACACCAGAAACAACGTAAAATAAACATAATAAAGTGGAGGAAACAAAAAGAGGTTATATCAAAAGGAGCCCACTCCCTAACTTACTATGCAAGTACCTAAGTGTGGCTGAGCTCCTCACCTAGGGATCCCTCTCTTTTTTCAGCTGGAAGCATGCAATAAAGTTCAGCTGCACCCCTTTCATCCCAGGGTATTCTCCCCCTTTTTCTCTTTAACTCTTCTCCACAAGCTACTTCTGTTAGGGCTAGAACCAATGATAAAGGAGAGGCAAAAGTTAACATGAGCCATCAGAACTAGGAAACAGATACATGCATGGAAAAGGATGTGAGAGAACAGGGACCAGAATGAGGATCACCCACTAAACTTTGAACTTTCCATGACACCATCTCATAAAACCAAAATCCAACCACAGGCACAACCAGAAAAGGAAGCCACAATGACCTCGCCTCACTGGCATGACACCTTTCTGCTATTTCCTTTCCAAGGAGGAATGCCTATCCTGTCCTTTGTGGTAGAATTTTCTAATAAATCTATATTTTATACTTTCACTTCTCCCTCCTCTTATTTCTTCTCAAACCTGTGCTCTAACAAAAAGCTTCAGCCTACAATCCTATCAACACTTTAATGCTCTGTACACTAAAGTCTGTTCTCTAGAGAAACCATAAAATTGCTAAACACTGTGCTACCTTAGTACCATCCTGGCACAATTCTTTTGCTTGCATAAGTGAGAAAAGGGAACCAGGACATTAACTGCACAGTAATATCGCTATCTTTTACTAGACATGCATCTATTTACTTACCTTAATAAACCCTTTTTACTTGTTTTACTAAATTGCTCCTGCATGTTAGTTTATGTAATTATAGTCACCTCGGCTCACTCTTGTGCAGGAAATACAAGCAAGTGTTGAAGATAAAGAGAACTCTGATTTAGCATGATTCAGCTGTAAATAACGGCATTATGCAACTGTAATTAATGTTACAAAATGAAAATTATATAAATGAATGGAAACCAATAAAAAATTTTAAGAATTGTACAGTTTTAAGTATATTTATTACAGAATTATATTTCTTAAAGAACTATTATATGGAAAGAAATCCTATAGATTTCAGAGAAAGTTATCTGATTTTGAATGTGCAGGCATTGTTTTATTAAATTTTCTCAGATAACACTAACAACACAATAAAGTGAGATTTACTTTTTAAATTACATTATTAATAACCAAGACAAAGAAATAGAGTTCATCTTTTTATCTGCTTTAGTAGTGCATTCACCCATGAAAAGAGTCTGGCAGAAACAATGGTTGAATACTATTCTGATTATCAAAGTCCTATTACCACTTTAAAAGTCAATTTGCTGAAACCTCAATGCTGGTGTGTTTCTTTTTTTTTTTTTAAGTTTCACTCCATCAACCTAGAAAGTTCCTTTATTATTTAATAATGCACATATATCACTAAAATTTTAAAAGAGCAGTAGCCATAAGGAACAAAAGGAATATAAGCTTATGATCTGATTAATTTACATTTCTACCTCTCACTAATCTAGGATGAAGGAATTCAACTAGCTTTCAGTTTTGTCATCGTGACACCCATTGTGCCCTTTCCTGGGTTGTGAATATCCTTAGTCTCTGGTTAGATGTAGATATGGCTTTGTTGTCCATATCAAAAGATCTCTCATATCAAAGAAAGCAGATTGAAAGGACACCCACTTATAGCACCTTGATGTAGATGTCCTTCTATATTATAATTTTATATAAATATTCCTGTAGGATGCTGTCATATTGGATCTTGAGAGGAGCTGTCTGGCTGGCAGTCCCGATTCCCCAGTTTTTAACCATCTTTTCCTTTTACACAGGATGCTGAAATAAACTATCTTTCTTAATTAACATCTTGTAACTGTAGTGGTGGAGGGAGAATGCAGGAAAGGAAGAACCCATATGAGATGGACTGACAAGTAACTGGGGTAATGGGAGTAGGTGTGTCAACCTCAGTTAAATTGGTCCAGGATAGGGCAGGGTTTGAAGCTATAATGCACAGGATCACTATGAGTCACAAGAGACTTGATGGCACATAACAACGACTAGGGAGCTCTGGTGGCCTAGTGGCAAGAAGCTGCGCTGCAATCCCAAAGGTGTGTGGTTCAAATCTACCAGATACTATGCTGGAGAAGGAGGAGCAATTTCCTCCTGTGCCAGTCAGATCTAATCTGACAGCACACAACAAGGAAAAAAACCCAAAAACCAAAGACAAAATAAAAGAACAACTGTAGTGGTTACCGGTTCCCCTCCCCAACATATTGTAAGAAAGAGACTTTAGACTAGTTTATCTTTAGAGTAAGGAGAACAAAAGCCAGAGTAATGGGTCAAGAATTGACACAAAGGGGGAAAAAAAAGAACTGACACAAAGGAAATAAACTATTAGCTGACATGATAAACCATAGGGCTCAGCTATGCATGAACAAACAGGATAAGGGGAAAGAGAGGGAAAGGGGGTCATAAGAGAAGAGATGAGATATAGGCTTTCAAGAAAGAATGTGTGCTCCACAGTACTCATTCGATGAGTAAGGAGGGAAAGGACTCACAAGCTGAGGCAATAACTCTGGGCAGGCTGTGGAAGGTATTCCAGCCTACTGCTTTGTGTAGGCTTGGGTTCTAGATTCTGCAAAATCTCGTAATAAAAAGTGCCACTCTCACTAAACTGAGTTTGAATCGAGTTTCTTGAGGGCTTGTTGGGCCAACACTCTGGGTAATTTATCAGCAAACTCATAGGAGATAGGCCGCCTTGTCCTCAGCTCTTCCCTTCTTATCCCAGGTCTCTTCTCAGGAGATTCCAGGAGTGCAATCCTGGTCAGAGATTTATAGTGACCAGCCAATTAGCAATAGATGCCAAGACAGTACCCTGGCTATTGACAGCGCTTTCCAAAGGGGGTTGGGGGGTCGGAGGGGGGTGCGAGAGTCACTGGCACATATAAGGTCAGAAAATGTGCTATCATACTGCCATCTCATAGATGCATAATGAAAAGGATATGTGGAAACCGCTGGCTGTATTTAAATAGCAACCTGAAAAAATAACATCTACTTTTGCTGTTTACTCCCTCTTGCTAACAAAGAGAAAATTATTTTCTTTCAAGTTCATCTGATAATTAGTAACAAATACTACCAATTAATTAAAGGTGAAAATGACCTCAATGTTAGTTTAGAAATGTCTACAAGAATTCATTTAACACTTGCATATGGTCATAAAACCATCTCAGAGGTACTTACTTCTGTGCAGTCACTCAGAAGTGGGACTGTGGTGTCGGTAGGGTTAATATTAATTGTCTTTAGTTCAATTAGGTTATTCAGTGAATTTCCACCTGGGCAGAAAAATAGGTAATCAGATAAAGGAAGGAAATAGGTAAATAGATAATCAGGAAAATGTCATTATATAAAGGAGTCTTTATTACACATGATAGAAGGAACCGTTAAAAAAGAAATAAACTAAAAAAGAAAAAAAAAGAAATAAACTCAGTCAGTTACCTGATACGACAACCAGAGAAGGCATGTAGCTGCTGTCAGCAGGATCTACTATCATTTTTAATCTATGAACAAGAACATCGGGGAAAATCTCCAAACGAATCCAGTGCTTTGAAGAAAAGGAAAAATATTCTCAGCAAAATTCAGTTACAGTTGAGAGAGAGAGAGAGAGTGTGTGTGTGTGTGTGTACATATATGTGTATTTGGTAGCATGAATAAGAGAATTTTGCTTTAACCTGACAGAAACAAGATTATTCTATTCCATTACTTCCTCACTAAAGCAAACACTCCCCTCTAAGCTTCAGAAAAAAATACAATCATATATTAAAAAAAATACATTTATACACCGTCTACCTAGTATGTTCATCACAGAAAACACTAAAGTATTAAGATCCAGAAAAGGCCCTTCTCTCCCAACCAAAAGTATGAATACACCACTCTTAAATGACAGTAATTTCATAGCTATAAAACAAGTATCTTTTAGGGTATGTCTGAGAACTCTAGACAAAAGATGAATCTGGAATTCATCACATTCCAGGTAGTTGCTGTGTACCTTCAAGTGAGAGCCTACTCATGGCTGACACTCCAGTGGTTTTCAGAGGCAGTTAATCACCAGGGAGACTGGTCATCTTTCCCTGATGAAGCAGCTAGTGCATTCGAACCTCAAGCACTGGTGGCCTTGTGGCAAGAAAGGGCACTGCAATCTCAAAGGCAAGCTGCTCCAAATGAGAAGGATGTGCAATCTCCTCCCATGTAATTAACTCATTTGAAAACCCACCCAAGAGTCAGCCATGGGTTGGTCACACACCACCACCACCAGAGCAAGTGAAGGTAAAACAAAAACAAAAACTCTTACTACACCCTCCATTATTCTGTGATTAAAATAAAACCCACTGGCTATACTATTTAAATCTTCTGAAAATACAAAATGAATGACATTATGAAACTTTAAGAAAACTTATTAAAATATAAAACAAGTGTTAGGAGGTTCCATCAGTACACCTTCGTGCATTTTTTTTTCAAGTATATTCTAAAAATCTACAAGGCAAAAAAAAGGAAAATGGAAAATATATTGCTGTGTGCCTATTGAGAACTACCTTTCCTTGGGACCCAGACGATTGCCAACAAGGTTCACTACCATCGATGAGATGAGCTGCCTGGTTCACAGAAGATGACACATTCAAGCTCTTCACCATGCGGGACCAACTGTCAAGAAGCATTCCTGGCTGACTACTGTGACAGCGTTTCAGTTGTTTTCCAGAACGGCCACAAAATACTGCCAACTGTCCTATATCATGTTAGTGAAAAAACAGCATTAATGGTTGTTGAAGTGGGACCAAAGTGTTATAATCAAGAATTAATAATTATTACACATGACAAGTATTGTACATCCACAAAAATAGACAGCTTTCATATTAAAATGAGTTAATGTCTAGAAATGGCCTTCCAACATTCTATACCAATTAATACACTGAAGCTTATAGGCTATAGTGTTATGTGCCATCAAGTTGAAGTTCATATTGAATGAAGATAAACATTGCTTAAATGTCTCAAGTAACAACAGACAGAATAATATATTTCCAGACAAAAAGAGATATATAAACAAAATGAGACTAATATGTATAATTAAAGAATGAAAAAGGAAAATTTAAAAGGTGGTATTTATGGACAAAGAAAGAAAAATTGTGAAGAAATATTACCAAGAGTGCTTACTCAAACCATTATCTTTTTACCTCTGGTTAAGAGATTTGCTCAGATAGACCATAATGTCCCCTACAACACATACTTGAGAGACTAAATACAATAATGACCTCGAACCCCTGAACATCCAAAGGAAAACTGATAAATCGAACATAGTGAAAATTAGAAGGAGAAATACAATGAAACCAGTGTTAACAAGAATTCCTGGACCTTCCTTGACTCCCCTCCACCCCCCAAGCCTGGTTCCGCATAACCTCTTTAAAATGTTAGCAAGAATCACGTCTAGGTGAAGAGCCCAGGAAGGGAATTACATGGAAAATACAGATGCAAGCAGAGGTACACAACCCTGGAAAGAAACAAAGTGGGCATAATCATCATCAGATTTATCAGAGCTGAAAGGGTGACTCACAGGAGTACAATATCTTTGAAAGAAGTGGAATTGCATAGATGTGCTCCTGGAAAAAAGAAAGGTATCTGAATAATAGGTCACAGGCTAGGAAGCAGGGCAAAGAGAAACAATAGGAAGACTGAAGAAAGACCCAGTGTCCACAAGGACCTGGAAAAAACTAAGAAGGCAGCTAAAATGTAGGGCTGTGATTTTACAGCAGTGCTCTGCTCATCCATGTAAATAAATGATTACCATTTAGGTAATCTCTGGGGTAATAATTAGAAGCCACCTCTAAATAGGCCTCAGAGGTTGTCCTCCTTTCACTTTCCTTTAATCAGGCCCCTCCCAGATAGTAAAGATTTCCATGTCTCCTCTAAGCTCCCCTCCAAGTGACATTATGTGACTTGCACACTGACCTGTCAGCTTCCACAGACGACTTACAAATCCCCGAGTGACAAGCTCATTTCTTTTTGTGGCCTGGGCAGCTGCTGCTGTCAGCCTTGGTCACCTGTTTACCCAGTCCCTGTGCTTGCACAGGCCTTACAACCTAGCCCCTTCACCACTGCTCAGGTTGCTCTGGTGGGCCTAATGCATGTCCATCACCCATTCTATGAAACTTTCAAGATATGACAAAGACTAGAAACACACCAACTACATAAACTAACTCAAGTTGAGCTAGAAAATGAGAACAGATGCAGAATATGAAACTGCAGATCTCCTAACCATAATCAAGCACCCTAGTCTGGCCTCAGAAAGATAATCAGAATTCAGAAGAGACATTGAACAAGGGGTTATCACTGATGTCACATGTTTTCATGGCTGAAAAGACAAAAATCTCAGAAGCCTGTGTTTTATTGATTAAGCAAAGAAATTCAATTAAGTCATAAAAAATTATAGGTAATATTGTGAAAATATGGAAATTTTCAAACACATAAGTTAATCTAAAAACTATACCAAGATTGAAAGGCAGTTGTTCAAACAAATAAAAACTATTTAGCAGTTTAAAAAGAAAGTGTGCTCCACGATTTTAACCTTTTATCCAACTTATTCAAAGTGTATGTTATGAAAATAATTCGGGAGACTGTACAATATGAAGAATGGAGTATTAGGTTTGGAGGAAGACTCAGTATTTATGCAGATATGGTGAGGTTTGTAGAAAATGATGATGACATTACTGATGAAGACAAAAGATTATAGCCTTCAGCATGGTTTAAATCTCAAGAGCAAAAATTCTTAACAACTGTATCACTTAGCAAGATCATGATAAAAGGAAATGAATGAAGGTGTTAAGAATTGTGTTATGCTTGAACTCACAAACAATACTAATAAAAGCAGCAGTCAAGTAATTAAAGGTCATATTACATTGAGAAATTCCACTGTAAAACCCTTCTTTAAAGTTACAATGCTAACATGTCACTTTGGGGATTCAAGTGAGGCTGACCTAAGACATAGTGCTTTCAATTGCCTCATATGTATGTGAAAACTGAACAATGCAAACAAGCAGGAAGAACAATCAAATCTATTTTGGAATAAGTATGGGCAGAATAGACCTTAGAAGTAAAGGTGGCAAACTTAAACATTTAATACACCCTAGACCTATTGCCAAGAAAGACCAATCCCTGTAGAAGAATACCAAGTGTGCTAAAGGATTTGGGGAGTAAACAGAATGAAGATGACAGACTGATCAAGTGGCTACAAACATAGCAGCATGAGATCCATCAATCTCTAACTTCTAGATATTGATCCTAGGGTTGCAATAGTTTTAACATACAAAAGTAGATATATGTATACTTGTGTTCATTAAAATCACCATTCACAACAGTAAAATGATGGCAATAACCTAAAGATAAAGGAATACTACTCAACCATGAAGAATAATGTGAATGAATCTGGAGGTCATTATAATGAAATGAAATAAATAAAAATTATCAATATACTTTTATAAAAAGATGAACATAGATATATATAGATAAACACGTATTAGTGATCTTTACTAGTGATACAAGGGTTGTGAATCACTTTCTACTTTAGCTATTGGAATAAAAGCCAAGCAGACCTCCCCCTGGGTTTCTGAAGCTGTAACTTGCATGGAAGAAGACTGCTCAGATTTGTCCTGAGCAGCCCATGGTTGAACAAACAGAGGAGGACGGCTTCTAGATTAGCAGCACTATCTCTATGCTTTCATATTGTACATGTACATAACATACAACATACTTGTTGATGTTGTTGTTATGTACCACTGAGCTGGAATTAACCCATAGCTGACCCTTCAGTGAGTTTCTCTCACAACACAGGTGTTGGATTCAAACTGTGTGCCTCTGGTATGGCAGAGTCATTCCTTAACACTAAGCCACCAGAGCTCTATAATGTACTGCCTAGCAATAAATGTAAAGTAACAAAATTACAAGCAACATCAAGAAAATTCCTAAGAAAAAATTTTAGGACATTAAGACAGAAAAGAAGAAATACTCTTATGTATCCATGTTTTGTTCTCTCTCTCTCATTGTTGTCAACTCAAATCTCACTCACAGCTAATCCTCTTAAGTTTTCAAGGTTTTAAATCACATAGGAAGAGACTGCCCATCTGTCTTCCTTGAAGTCACTGGTGAATTCAAACCACCTGATGTGTATGGCCATCAGGTTATCAATGCAATTACCTATAAAATGGAACACCAGATCTCCTTAAATATTTGAAAATTTTAAAACCAGGCCAGACTTTTAGAAAGAAGGCATGCATTTTAGGCAGGAGGTATGCCGCTAAAAGCAAAGAGCCAATTCTTCTCCATAAGCCAACCTATTTATTCTAATTTCTCTCTTTCTCTTAAATAGCAAATTAGCACTCAGCAAGGCCCTCTCAATTTTGTTTACTCTCTAAGGCTCACTGTACAGACATTAGCGTTAATATAACAAAATACAATAGATTTGCTTTCATAAATTATCAGTAATAATACTGAATGGGAGAAAAAGCAACCATCATATTACCATACCTGGTTCATTTATTCTGCCAAATGTATGCCTGAAGTTGTGTTTTTTGGTCTTGAAACACATTTCACAAAAATCAAAGTCATCACAGTTTCTGCATTTGAATCTAGATCCATTGATAGGAAACATTTGACATCCGTCACATCTACATTTTCAAAAACATTAATTGGGTAGAAAATATTTTTAAAAGCCAAAACAAAGTCACCTAAACAAGTATCATTCACAAGAAAATAATTTACATCAAAACAATTTAGCAAGTTTGAAGTAAACTTACGTAACGCCAGGATGAATACTAGGTATCAACTCCATTTCTGATAACAATCCAGTCCAATGAGACTGCTGGGGAAAGTCAACAATGACATCTTTCCCATTGGCGCTGAAAGCTAAGACACAACAATGATTGTTTAAAATATTGTCGATTGTCAGAAATACTTAGTATTAAATTAAAAGTATACCTACTCATGAACTGACATAAAAAACAAGTATACTATTGCTTATTATGCCTTACAAAGAATATTTTTAAACATGTTGTTGTTGTTATTATGTGCCATCGAGTCACTTGCAATTCACAGCGACCCTACGTACAACAGCCCTAAACCCTGCTCTATCCGGTGCCAATCGCACTGCCTCTGACACACCCATCCTGATTACCCTAGTCACTGAATCAATCCACCTCATAGAGGGTCTTCGCCTCCTGTGCTGTCGCTCCACACTCCCAAGGATGATGTTCATCTCCAAGGACCTGTCCCTCCTTACATCATGTCCAAAGTATGTCAGACGAAGCATCAGAATCCTTGACTGCAAGGAGTAGCCTGGGCTTAACCCTCTCCAGGATGATTCTGCTTGTTTTCTTGGCAGTCCAGGGTATATTCAATACTCTTCTCCAGCACCAAAGCTAAAAGGAATCAATTCTCCTTCTATCCTCCCTAGTACTTATCCAACTTTCTGATGCATAACAAGTGATTGCAAAGACCATGTTCTGTATCAGGAGCACCTCAGTCTCCAAAGAGACACCATTGCTGTTGAGTACTTTAGAGAGGTCCTTAACAGCAGACTTTCCCATCGCAATCGTTTTTTGATTTCCTGGCTACTGGTGCCAAGAGTGTTGACTGTGGAGCCGAGCAAACTGTCACTGTGAACAATCTCAATCTCTCTGCCATCCATCCTGATGCTACCAATTGGTCCAGTGGAGAGAATCGTTGTCTTCTTGACACTGAGCCTCAGTCCATACTGAAGGCTGCAGACCTTGATGCTCTGCAGCAAGTGCATGAGGTCCTCTTCAGTTTTAGTGAGCAGGATTGTGTCATCTGCATAACACAGATTGTGAATAGATCTTCCACCAATCCTGAAGCCAAACTTCTCCTCATAGAGACCAGCCTCTCGGATAATCTGCTCTGCATACAGGTTGAAAAGGTATGGAGATAAGACACATCCCTGGTGTATACCCTTCCCAATGTTATTAGGTGCAGTCAAAGTACAACTCACAGCGACTCTATATCAACAACAGATTTGAATACTGTTATATCATGTGCCATCCTATGTCTGACATTTTTCTTTTGCTGACCTTGTACCTTTTCTAGAATAATATCCATTGCCTTTCTCTCAATAACATGCCCAAAGTTACGTGAAACAGCTTTGACATCCTTGCCTCTAAGGAGCCGTCTTGGCTTCATCTTCTTCAAGACTTGTTAATTTGACAGTTCATAGGATATTGAATGCTCTGCTCCAACACTGCAATTCAATGGCACTGATTTTTCTGTCATCTTTAAAAACAGTCCTGTTCTCGAGTGACTGAAAAGACTATATTCTGAACCAGGCACCCCTTAGTCTTCAACGTGACACATCGTAACTCCTAAGCTCTCTGGAGAGGCCCCTGACAGCAGACTTTCCCAACGCAATACATCTTCTGATTCCTTGACTGCTGGTGCCACAAACATTGGATATAGAGCTAAGTTAGATGACAATTTCAATCTTTTCTCCATCTATTATGATGTTGCCATTTTTATAATTGACCCTGCTAATATTAATAGCAGACTATTTATAAGAAGTCTCGGTGGGGAAACGCCATCTTTGTAAACTTGGACTTTGGTGGGAGATCGGCAAGGACAGCGGAGGGAGTGCCGGGCTGGTGCTTGTGACCTGCTTGTGACCGAGACACCACACACCCATTTGGGCCCTGGGGCCTTCGGCCCTCGGGCGAGGAAGATAATCATATATGCCACATCTGCAAGATTTATCAACCTCCCCTAAAATACTCATGTACCATTGAGGATTAAGTTACATGGGGAATCAAACTGGTTTCTGGCCTGAGTACGTAGGGTCCACTAACTCAAACAACTGGGAGATCCTTAGCATATCCAAAGAGTGGGGAAGCTATTCCAGAAAGGGAACAACAGATTTCCTCCTTCAATATATAGGTTCCCCCGAGGCCATCCCCACGTGTATCAGTGTGCGCTTCCTCCCTCTCCACTCACGTGAGCGTTGGAGTGTGCACGCACTCTCTACGCATTTTCTCTTCTTTCTACCCAACAATCTTCTGGAGCAAGGACTTCAAATCAAAACCCAGCTACCACCTCAGACAC